TGCACCCCCCCCCGTCCTCCTTCCCCACCCGAACTGCGCTTAAAATCCTTGAACGGTTCATTTCAAGGTTCTCAATTCTGAAAGTTGAATGTTATCCCTCTCCAGGCCGCAGTCCGCTCTCCCTTTGTGGGCGTAGCCGGGCCTACCGTTGCACATTCCTCATTGACACGCCCCTCCTTTCCAAGGTGGTAAGGAAGAGAGGTGGACCAGTGAGCAATGCACAGCAGTACGGCCCATATAACGGGCATAAAATACGCCTTTATGATTCGTTATTTTCAGGAAATTCCCAACAAATCCTCCCTCTCACGGTCAGTACCCTCCGTCGATGAGCTGTCCGACATCACAAGCCCGCTGATCTACATGGGCTCTCCATTCTTCAGCGAAACGAAACCTGAAAACTATACTATCGACGAGCCAGGATCGACCATTATTCCAACCATTAGGAGCCCATATTGGACGAGAAAACCGCGTCTTAATAGCTTTCAAGTGGACGTGATTCCGTTTCCAGAAAGTAACCCCGTTGACGGGCCAGTGGTTGCGGTGGACGAATTCGCGTCGGTAATCTTCTCGTCCACAGCTCCACCGGAAACTGCGGTACGATTTCCTTCTGATTTACGTTTTTCCCTCGTCTTATCCAGCAAAAATTTCAGCCGACGTATCCAACCCTGATCCCTACGGAAGAACAACCAGTCCTTAGAGTTCGTCTGGCGCGGGCAGAAGCTGCAAAAACTGTGGACAGGTTGGTTTGTGCGCCAGCAGCGCAGCACTCCCGAATACTTCAGGCGATTCTCTCATAAGTTAATCCAAACAAGCTAATCTTCAGTGTCCCAGAGCCGCTTGATCTCTCAAATAACGCATCTACCACTGACGATGATGCAACCGAAGCTGTCTCAGTTCTCAGACTTTCTGAAACGGTATGTCCATTTGTTTCCGAAGAAAGTGTCCTTTAAAAGCCATTCTCCCAACTCCACAGTATGCGTAGGCAGGGTACAGCATGGGGATGTGTCAAATGGCGGTGTGGGTACGACCCCCCCCCCTCCTGCTCTAACTGACAACCAGATGCATGTTCACCACAAATGGCTTCCTGAAATGGAATCTGGATTCTCGAAAGGCGCACTCTGCTCTAAAATACAGGAAATAAAAGGCTGTTTCAGCCTCATGCAATATGAGGCTGAACAACAGCCTCGCATTACCTACAATTTTGTCTTAGGATTCAAAATAAAACTCCTCGTTCGATAACTATGTATGACATGCAACTTGTAACAAGAAACACAATTGAAATAGCGGCTAATGGTGATCATTGATAGGCTGAATTGGTGAAAAAAATAGCCCCAAGGTGAGCGTGTCAGGGCCCAGATGTGCATTCAATGAATGGTGACGGGGAAATAATGAAAACATGCACGACACAACAAAGCGAAACATGGAAAATACAAAAAATGCAGAGCTAAATGAAAAAAGGATAACCAGGCCGGCAGTAAATCGTTCCATACTTGGCTATTATCGATCAGGCTGCAGGGCGCAAGGCTGCGACCGCTTTCTTTGGAAAAACGTCATTGGAGCGCGGTTGTTGGACTTGCCAACGTCCTGGGGTCTGTTCGGGGGTTATATTTTTTAGGTGCGGAGCTTTTGAGGAATGGTGAGCAGCATGCAACGGCAAAGTTTCTACTATTGTGTATTCTACCTAGCTGCAAACTGAACAATCCCCGTTGGTGAAATATTCCGGATGGGTCACGGTTCGGCCAGGGGTAAATCGCGAGCTGGTTTCCATGATTCACACAAGGACTGCTTCGTTCAAACGCAATTTCATCAGGACTGAAGTCGTCTTGAAACCCCTCCATCTTTTCTCTTTCCAATAAGCTTTACAGTTTTTCTGAAGACCCACTAGTTCAGGAGATATTTTAGATGGGTCACAGATGCGCCACCCTCTGACCCACCCGAAAAATTGACTCCTTATGTGCCATTGTGAGGATACACCTTTCAGTGTGCCTTCAAAACACATATTTCCCTTCAAATGAGTGAAAGAGAAGCTCGGCTATCTCTGATCGATTTGGTCCGTGCGCCGTGCATTAGGCTCCTACGCAGAGGTGGTGGAAAGGTGTAAATTCTTTCAGGTGCTTTTATCCATGCAAGCAGATGTTTGTTTAGGGTTTGTAAAGGACAACACGCACGAATCTGTTTGAGACGTATTATTTAGTCATCTACGTACTTACGAGTTCATGCTATAAACTGACACTTATTTATTTATTTATTCTTGCTATATTGCTAATAAATCTTTTATTATTTTGTATTCCTATTTACATCCGGGTCTTCTGAAGCTTTCCGTCCGTTCCATTACCCTTAGCAATGACACCTTTGTACTGTTTGATGCCTAGCGAGCCTACTTTTGCGATACTCCCCACGTCCCCGCGGCCAAGTACGAACCCATTCTTGGGGATTTCCCATGAAAAGAGGGCTGTTAAACGTAGCATTTAAAGCTGTAAAGAATACACTCATAATAAACTTCATTTTTTAAACATCTTGACTTCCATAGCTCCACTCCCACTATCAACTGAAATGTCGAAGCATTGCTCGGCTCTGAGTGACCCTTGAGATTACGACCCCCCCTCCCCAGCGGCCAAGTACGACCCCCCCCCATGGGTTTCGCACAACGATGCTGTACCCTGTGCGTAGGTTTATTTTGGACACCATATGGTCATCTTTCTGGAATTCTTTCTTTCTTCAAAAAAACGCAGCGAACTTGACGGGCTGGCGCCGCGTCAAACCCAGCCTCCTTGAAACGCCCCAGCGTCTGCACGGAAAGCAATTATACACACCCATTAGGGCTTGATTCACCTCCTACTACAAGAGACTGAGCCTTCGAAGATCCGTGTCGAAATCAGGCCACGTCGTGTGTTGAGGTTAGAGGGGGTAGTATTTGATCGAGGGAAAAAGAGGGGGGTCGTATCGTATTTCCCTTGGAATTTATGTTCTCAGTAGTTGAGTTTTCTCGATTTTCCTAGCCAGGTTCGCAACATCTTCTCCCTCCCCCTTGTCACCGCTCGAAGGCAGATGCTTGGGGAAAAAGCGGAGGAATTTTGAAAAAAAAATTCCGGAAATGTGGTGAGAATATGATTCCAGAAGATGGGAGATAGGACAGGTGATGAGGAATGGGGGGAGGGTCGTACCAAAGCAGGAAACTCCGGGGAGGGTCGTACTGTGCAAGAATTTTCCCTCACTCCTGAACTCATTTTACTGGTATTGGCTAGGTAGTATAATACTTATCTTTCCTTGGAATTCTCTTCCAGATTGTGAGGCTTTCACATTGTGAAGTATACTCCTTATGTTTGGACGAGCTGTCTCGTGAAGAAAAAACATGCGGACCAAAAGGAACCCGTATCTCGCTAAGGAACCATAGGAACCAACGTGCATGCAAGAAGAAGCTCGAGTCTGACTATCGTGTGAGTCTGGCACTTTGCCAAGGTTCTCTTTCTAATTCTCACTGCACCCTTTCAGATTGTCGACGCTGAGACAAGAAACCTTGAGGAAACCTACAGCACCTGTATCAAGAACCGGCTAGGGCAGAATATCACAGAAGTAAGTGATCATAGGTCTTTGCGCCAAAAACGGGAGCATCCGAGAGCGGGGGGGGGGGAATATTAATGCCGCTAGGGGCAGCAACTGCGCCGTCGTGCGAAGTTGGTGTCTTGACGCGCGCGGCTAGTGGGGGGGGTCCAAAAAAACAGAAAAACCACCTTATCCGAAATGCAGTCCACAACAAATGAGGAGAATTGAATAGGACCACCCCTCTACAAAAACACAATAGAGAGGCTGCAAATGGCTTTTACGTTCACCGCTAGCCTGCATGTGTCCTTGGCGTTACGACGCTATCGCGCGAAGGCCATCTTTCGGCACTGTTCGGTTCAGAGGTGGTGTTTTGGGCACTTAAGCTCCTTTTTTCGTGTAGTTCATAGTTAAGTAACAGTCCACAAACGCTTAGGGGGTTAACGTTTAGTTAGACGCCTGTCAACATCTTGTGGCGCTGCCAAAATAGTGCTCAGTGAGGGGCACCCCTTTACCAAAGGAATTCCAGATCTCCAGGAATTTGGCCCGCTCAAGCTCAGCTGAATCCGATTCGGTGCTCTCCCCCCAGCCAGAGCTGAACTGCATCGCACTCTCCACACTGCCGTATTTCAGGTGGTAGCAACTCAATGTGACGCTTATTCTTTACCCTCTTCGCTCGAAAGGGAGCCCTGCCGCAGCAAGGTTCATGTTCTCAGACAGCACTGTACAAGACTAGCCAAATGCTGTCCAGACGCTCAAGAGTGAGTTTGCCTTGACCTTCGCTCCTTGACACTTTAGCAAGATTCTACTTCCAGGTGTCGTGACGAAGTGGACCAGTCAGAAATGGCCCGTTTTCTACGACGGCGCAAAGAAACGCTAGCTGTGGCAGCAGCCAAGTGTCATAAGCGAAGACATAGAAAGCTGCGAACAAATCCTCCAAGCACTGAATCCCCACAACCTTCAAGTACTGAATCGCCAGACCCTTCAAGCACTAAATTCTTGTAGCTCAAGAGCGAACTGGATGTATCGATAGTCTAGCTCGTTTTTCACTTTGTTAAATATCCGGGTATTTGCACTCGCCTTTACCACTCTTTCTATTGTTCTCGTATAATGTTGTCTTTCAGTTGTAATAATTATTATATGATGTTTGTAATAATGTGCCAATAAAATGCTTTACTAATATGAGCATTTGAGTACCATATGGCAGTCAACGGGGGTTACAACTGTCGCCAGTTGCAAGGGAGCTGGCTATGAGTGCTATTGGAAAGGTGAAAAAGTCCGACGGCCAGCCCAAAAGGTAGCACTTATCATTGTTGTGATGGTGTTCTTCCACATCGAAGAGAACCATCCATTTACCGGACCCTAGAGCCTCAGAATAATTGTCAATCGCGATCTACTGCGCCCATCTCTTCCCTTTTTTCTTCCTCTTTCCTTCTCTTCGCTCCGTGCTCCTTCTTGCTTCCCTCATCCTTCGCCTTCTCCTTCAACTGCTGGGCCAGTAAATGCTCATAAAAAATATCTCCGGACCCTAGCAGCGACGGCATGTCCGGTTGACAAGAGCCCTGTAAACCCATACTAGACGATTTCGCTTGAGACGCTGGGCGCATCACGGGGACTGTTTTTGGCGGGCCCGGCTCGTTTCCCACCACTTGCTGCTTGGTAAAAAATGGGCTCACGCCGCGCCAAATGGCTTACGCCCCTGAGACAGCCCATCTCGTGCAACGAGACGAATACGACTGAATTATCTTTTGTGGCCTCATCCTCAGAAGCAAAAGCATGATAAGTCCCCAAGGCGTGTAGTATAAATGCGCCTGAGTACGAAATTCTCCCCAGAGCAGGTTCTGCGCGGCCCGTTTTCCAAGGAAGGGACCTTTATAGTGCTCTATCGAGCTGCAGCATACCGCCCCAGATTCCTCCCGCGCCGCCTGCCCACAATGTGTCAAATGTCAACCAATTGGCACTTTTTGCTCAGTTGCGAAGTAAATCTGAAGCGCGGGCATTGTGGCGGTAGCTGCATGGATATATGAGTACTAGTACCGGCATATCTACGCGGCGGCGTTTATTGGCACATGCCAACGGAAACTCGTCGCCGACTGCTTCTTTTGGAATAGTGTAGAAAAAGAATTTTTTGCAGGTCAACCGTTAGCACTTTGCTTTTTCGCCTTTTTCGTATAGAATAGCAGCGCGCTTGCTACACTTCTATACGACAATTATCATGCTTCATGCCTTGATTCATCCTGTCCTGACTGTCCGCCGTCCCGTCTGTTGGCAGCGTAGCAGGTACAAGAAGTCTTTGTGAAAAAAAAACCAAAACGGGATGCGTTGTCTCCCCCCACCTCATATGAACCATCTATTTCGTCAACTCGGTGCTAAAACCGACTGTTATGCGAATTGGTAGTTCTCAACTGCCGAGTAACTTCGACCAGCGGGAGCCGGGCACGAGAATCGTCATTTGCCGCTCCGACGCGATGACTTCATGTAGACTAAGCCTTCGTTGACATCATGACATTTTCGTTCTCATTACCTGGTTGTGGTTCACCATCCACGACCTGGGACCATCGTCGTTTGCGGGCGCGACGTCGCACGCGATGCCCACTAGCGCGGCGAGTTACGATTCTCTTGTCACATACACTCAATCAGCTGCTTTCTTAGAATCTTTGAACTTCGCACTGTCCCATTTTCGTGACTATGACTTTCGATATGAGTTAGTGCTAATTTGACATTCTGAACACCTTTGGCTTGGATGGTCGTGAGTTCAGCCGCCCTGCCACGGGCGGCAAGGCCAACGGTGACAGAAGGGCTAAGCTCACATGTTATTGGACTCTCTGGTCGAAACGTGATGCCTTCTATCATTGCCACTGTAATCCATCGGTGTCAGATCCAGCGCCTTTGTTTAAGGCCAGCTTCAGACTTCGCGCTGACGCCCGTAGGATTGCGCTTCAGCACAATCCGTTTGTTTTTTGAGAGAGTATAGGATAACAGGAAGGTATACGCTGCCTTCGCACAGTATGATACCCTCCTGTTCTTCTATACTAGCCCAAAGCCCTAGCGGCCAGTGTCGATCGATACCACACTGCGGGATTAGGCAACACGCGCCCTCTTATTTCCCCATACTCTCTCAAAACACAAGCCGCCGTCAGCGATCGATTTCCGCCTGAGGCTGCGTTCGCGTGTATAGTTGCTGGAGCGCTGTTGTAGCGCGTCGACGCGCGTCATCGCCAAGTCTGAACGCTGTCTTAAGCGTCCGGATCTGATAATTTTATACAAGCTATTCCTGAAACTTCATGGAGAACAGAAAGCCGAGTAATTTTTACTCTTATTGCATAGTAATATCGAAAATGAAATATCGTATCGGTAAATTTTACGAGAATTGATGACATTTTTCATCTTCAACCAACATAACCCTTAGACTTGCAAAATGCGTCGTAATCGGTCACAAATTTTTCCACGTCGCTAATCGTGATTATCTGAAATTTGGGGTCAGTTAGGGGTAATAGGGGAGGAGGTCTCAACATCTCATGCTCACTTTTTTATTCTCAGCTACTGCCAAAAGGATACGATGCATAAAAAGATACTGTACGTCTGTTTGCACTGAGCCATGCCGATCGTTACGTATACCCCGAACGACGCTTTCCAAAGTTGTCTAGAAAAACCATTTTGAGTAAGGGCACAGAGCTGGATGGGACGGGGCACGTCAGCGCGGTAGGATGGAGCCTAGCAGCAGCCGCGTTTTCCACCAATAACTGTAAGCCGAAGACTGCCACCATTGGTAGGAAACGCGACCGCTATTGGGCTCCAGCCCAGCCCTCTGACACTCCCGGCCACACCTAGTTTTGTGCAGTGTTGGTTTCTTCAGAACTTACAGCATGTCCCTTTCTAAGTTTCGAGTATAATACGTCCAATCCCACAATGGTGCCAGTACGTCCGATTCCGGCCGAACAATGTACTGCGATCGGAGTGAGCTTCTTCACTCGCACCAGAAGACGAAACGAAGACAGGTCCACCGTGGGAACGCCTCTGTCAGGCCAATCTTTCCACTGAAGGTGTTCCACTGTGTGCTTCTCCTTAAACGTATGGATTATTCCTAGTTGATAGAGAAAAGTAGGACAATAGGATGAGCGATCAATCCCTGTTGGAGCCGCCGCGCATCTCACTTCTACTCAGAATCGCTGCAACGATTGGATGCCTGTTTGGCCTATACGCATGGCCGTGCTGCGAACACTCGGTGTTTAGGTTGCGATATTTGCCCTACGTGAGCCCAAAAGCAATTGTTTGTCCTCCGATAGATAAAGAAGTTGGTACTATTTTCATTACCGCCCGAGCTTTCAAAAATAGGCTGGATTTCTTAGGAGTGATGTTATTTCCCAGATCCGAGTTTGGAATATTGGCCTAAAAATGTCTTGTACGTGCGCCACGGACCCCGATTTCGAAACGCTTCAGACCGCAAGCGAATCATTATCCTGCTCCCGAGGGCAGTGGCAAAGAAGTCTTTTTTTCTGAACGTGCTTGCTGGCGGCCGCACCATGGTCTTTTTGGATCCGAGCCAGTGGAAGGTTGTTTTCTACAATGACAACCAAGAAAAACTCCCTAGCCAAACCCAGTATCGGGCAAAAATTTCGAGGAGAACTGCGCTTTACCAAAAGTGCGGTGGCAAAGGATCCAATGCTCACAGACTCTGGTGCTAGTAGGAAAGCCAGAGTTTCGAGTAGTGAGTGCGAGGGCTCATCATGTTGTTGCAAGGCGGATGAGTGTGAAATAGAGGTAAGTAAAGAGTACAATAAACGCTATTCTCACTGAATTGCCCACGGATAACTCTAACGTAGTTTGAACCATATTCTCCTCCACATCCATGGTTTTCACGAATTTAATCGACAATTTGCAACCGGCTAGCTCCTTCTGAAGCAATAAATTTCACAAAGCGACTTGACCGTCGACGGTAGAGTCCACGATGACTGCATGGGCGGGCGAAAAGGTGCAGAGAGTCAATCATCGTGCCTTTTTCCTAGGTGAGTTCCTGGCTTTGAAAAGGTGAGGACGAGGAGCCCGCTAAGGCAAAAGGCAAGAGGGTTGACCGTCTCTGCCCATACGATTGACGTGTAGTGGCCTCTGAGAAAGCATGATGACTTGCATTTGGATTGGCACTATCTGGCCAATATTGTTCGCATTTCTTTTTTCCACACTCCATTAAATTGCATAACATTATGATGCTTTTACATTTTTCCTGCCAAATCATTCTCCAAAAATCTTCAATAGTGCCATCCATTGGAGCCTGCAACCTCACTTCAACATCAGCTGTAGCTATTACGTGGAGGGAAAATCTGGCGCATAGCTCTAGCACAGGCTCGTTACCTATCAAGCGTTAGGAGATGTCACATAACTTGCCGTAGACAGATCTACACTCATCTCCGAGGACGTATTGCCATGTGCGAGACGATTGGGTCCGCCGCTGTAGTACCGTGCCTCTTCGCCACTTAAAGGCAGTTGGCACAATGG